GCAGAAAGTGATGGTGATTTTTAGTCCTCCGAATTACTCTGTGTTTTTGGACGTAAACTGGGTAGGTTCTCCAGAGACGGAGTGGAGATTCTGGTTGAGATTGAGTTGCTCCAGGTTAACGTGGGGAGAACAGTCTTGAGTTTCCCAGAGCACGAACATTTCATGTGAACAGTCCAGTGTCCAGAAAACAGGCTGCATTTGAGTCTCACCAGTTTTTCTAATACTAATGTCTAGGTGGGTGACTCTAATCCGCAGCCCTAAGGCCTGTCTTTAAATTGTTTTTGGTGAAACATTCTTCTAGGTCGTATAGCCCGTGTCCTCTTGCTGTACAGAGGTAACTTGTGGTCGTTGTGAAGCTGAACACTGTGACACTGACGTGCCAGATGCGATAATGGTTACCTATGGTGGACAGTGTTTGGTGGCTCTCCCTGGTTAAAACAAGCTTGGAAGGAGGAGTGGCATCTGCTTCCATAATAGCTTGCCTCCGGAAACCCTATGAACCAGAAGAGAGGAAGAAAGCCACACATGCAAGTGTCGAGGACTTTCGTTCATAGGGTCACTATGAGTTGCCTACGACTCAACAGCACTTAACAACAACAACGTCTTTCTGCTCCAGGTCCTCTTAGTCTCTTCTGATCTGTCACTTTCTCACTCTTTTCCTCATTTTTTTAATGACTTGGCACTTTTTACCCCCTTACATTTTCTGTGTTTTGGTGTTGTTTGGGCCAATTCAACAGTTTTCACACACTCACTTTAGGTACATAGATTACATTCTTCCGGTTATGCTTCACTCTCATTCTCCTTTCCCAAGTTCTTCCCTCATTAGCACAGACTCGCTGCCCCCACGGGCTATCTAATCTAATCTAATCTGATCTAATCTAATCTTTCAATTTGCTTTTGTCACTTTGAACTCATATAAAAACCAAACCCTACCCACAGTTGTTGAGTCACTTCCAACATTTAGCAACCCTGTAGACCATGTAGAAAATCCCTTAAGATTTCCAGGACAGTAAATCTTTTTGAGATGAGATTGTCTTATTTTTCCTCCTGGGAAATCGCTGGTGGATTAGAACCACTGACCTTTCTGCTGGCATCCCAAAGCTAAACTATAGTCCTACCAGGATTCCTTCTAAAGATCTAGAAAATGCTCAGGGAATTAATTTTTTACTACTCAAACTGCTCAGCTATTGTTTGTTCTTAAGAAGACTTAAGGGAAACTTTTTTTTTTTTAATTTAAGATTTAAAAATTAGGGGAGCTCTGGTGGCCTAGTGGCAAGGAGCTGCAACTACAATCCCACAGGCACACGGTTCGAATCCACCAGATGCTCTGCTGGGAAAAGGAGGAACAATCTCCTCCTGTACCAGTCAGATCTGATTTGATGGTACACACACACACACACACACACACACACACACACACACACACACACACGATTTAAAAATTATCTCGAGGCACTTGTCCCAACCTCCACAGGTGCAGAAAATCTGGAGTTGGTGAGAATTTGAGATTTTGTTCTGCATTCTTCCCCCCTGTTGATCAAGATTCTTCTGTGGGATCTTTGGTCAAAATGTTCAGTGACAGTAGCTAGACATCATCTAGGTCTTCTGGTCTCATGGCAGACGAGGCAGTTTTGGATGGAGGCAATTAACCGTACTTTCCATACCTTCCTGTTTCAACTCTTCTTCCTCATATAGTCTAGGAAAGTAGACATTCTGCCTTCAGTGACCACATGCTTGTTTTTAAGACCCCAGGAACTACACAACAAACTAAAAGATGTTTCTATGTGCCATCGAGTCGCTTGCGACTCCTAGTGACCCTCTGTACAAGAGCCCTAAACGCCGTTCTATCCTGTGCCAACCTAGCCATCTCAAACACATTCATTCCCACCACTCCACTCACAGAATTGATCCATCTCATCGAAGGTCTTCCTCTCCTGTGCTGTCCCTCCACCCTTCCAAACATGATATCCCTCTCCAAGGTACATGACTCCTCCCTGGTGAGGCTAACCTTAACCCCCTGGTTAGCAGGTGTGCAGAGTCCGCTTGGCTTGCTGTGTTCTTTATGATGGTGTCATTAGAAGGGAACCCGTCATAAGTTGGGGACAGCCTTTTTATTATTGTAAACTAACCCACACTTCTATCCGTTCTGTATCTACGTGTATGGATGTGTGGTTTTTAAAGAAACATGAAGACACTGTTATCTCTTGGCTTTAGTTTTTTGGTTGTTTGGTTGTTTTTGGTTTGTTTGTTTGTTTGTTTGTTTGTTTTCATCCTACGCCAGAGATGTGTCCTGTCTCCATACCTTTTCAGTCTATATACGGAACAGATTATCTGGGAGGCTGGGCTCTATGAGGAGGAGTGTGGCCTCAGGATTGGAGGAAGACTCATCAGCAACCTTCATTAAGCAGATGGCACAAACCTGCTTGCTGAAACTGAGGAAGATCTGGAGTGCTTGCTGCAAAGGTCAAGGGCTGCAGTCTTCAATACGGATTGAAGCTCAACATCAAGAAAACAAAAATTCTCACCACTGGGCCACTTGGCAGCATCATGACAGATGGTGAAGAGATTGAGATAGTTAACAGTTTTAGTTTGTTTGGCTCCACAATCAACACTCTTGGTTATAGCAGGCAGGAAATCAAAAGAAGAATTGCGTTGGGAAAGTCTGCTGTCAGGGACCTCTCCAGAGTACTGAAGAGCAATGATGTCAGTCTGAAGACTAAGATGCACCTGATCCAGGCCATAGTCTTCACAATTATTTGCTGTGCGTCAGAAGGCTGGACAATGACTAGGGATGACAGAGAATTGATGCCTTTGAGCTGTGGTGCTGGAGAAGAGTACCATGGACTGCCAAGAGAACTAACAGACTTGTCCTGGAGAGGGCGAAACCAAGCTGCTCCTTGGAGGCAAGGATTCTGAAGTTTCATCTAACATCTTTTGGGCATGTTACAAGGACGAACCAGTCCTTGGAGAGGGTCATCATGCTGGAAAGGGTGGAGGGACAGCGCAAGAGAGGAAGACCCTAGATGAGATGGATTGATTCAGTGACTGGGGTAATGGGGGTAGGTCAGAGACAGTAAGCTAGGCATAGTATAGAGCAGGTTTCAGGGGTGTTGTACATAGGGTCGCTGTGAGTCACAAGCAACTTAATGGCACATAACAACAGCAATAGACTTGTAGCAGGGGATTCTGGCGACCTAGTGGTCAGAAGTTGCACTGTAATACTCAAGGCACGTAGTTCAAATCCACCAGTAGCTCCGTGGGAGAAGGATGGGCAGTCTCCTCCCATTTGATTTACTGTCTCTGAAAACTTACTGGAGGGTCAGCTGTGGATCGGTTCTGACTCTGTGGCACTTAACAGTAGACTTGTAAGAGGGCACTTTGATAGCCTGGTGGTAGGAAGTTGTGTTGCCAACCCAAAGTCACATGGTTCGAATCCACCAGCTGCTTGACGGGAGAAAGATGGGCAGCCCACTGGAGGGTCAGCCATGAGTTAGTTCTGACTCCACAATACACAGCAATAGACTTTTAAGAGGGCGCTCTGGTGGTCTAGTGGTAAAGCGTTGCAGTACCAATCCAAAGACCTGTGGTTCGAATCCACCAGCTGCTCCATGGGAGAAAGATGGGCAGTCTCCTGCTGTGTGAGTTACTGCCTCTGAAAACCTGCTGGAGGGTCAGCTGTGAGTGAGCTCTCTGTTCTCTCCCTCCTTCAGTCCCCGGTAACTGCAAATAAACTTAGAACCCTCCACACTTTCCTATTCAAGATAATTTATGTGAATAGTATCTTACAGCATTTGTCCACTTGGTCTGCCCCACTTGAAGGCATATAACAACAGCAGTGACAATAAGCTTGTAAAAAGTTTTCAGATGTGAAACACATTTATTGTTAACGGGTTCAGTGTAGTCATTTCTGACCTTTAGAGTATCTAGTCAAAGCCCTTTTGTGGAATTAAGTCAGCTCCCGCCCTCCCCCGCTCTTAGGGCAGTATAGTCACACGTTTGTAAGACGGACTTGTTTGTCCCTGTCTACATTCCTTTCTGGGATCCTGACATCCCAGCTGCTTGCATTCTTTTTTTTTTCCTTTAATTTACATATGGTCAGGTTCACTCTATGCGGTGTCCAGTTCTCTGTGTCCTGACGGTCATGTCACCCATGGCCATGCTGGGGCGCTTCCTTACCCTGAGCCCTCCCTGCCCAGCCCCCCTGTAGCTGGCCCCCTGATGGTTGGGATCTGCCTTCTTTCACTTCTTTCAGCATTCAGGATTCCTCCAGGTGGTTGCGTGCACCGTTTAGCCTCCTCCTTTGCTGAGGGTATTCCACGATGGAGAGGGACCTCAATTCCTGTCCGGTCTCTTAGCGGAGTCCATCTGGGCTGTGTCCAGCGTATGGAGATTAGAGCAGCACTAAGCTCTAGTGTCCTATTTGTAAGAAGCTGTGCTGCGATCCCAAAAGTGTGAGGTTCAAATCCACCAGCTGCTGTGCTGGATAAGGATGGACAGTCTCATCCCGGGCACTTGACCGCCTCTGAAAACCCGCTGCACGGTCAGCTATCAGTCAGTTCTGGCTTGACGGTACACAACAATGACAAGCTTCCACGTGTAGACTTTTTTTTTTTTTTACGTGTAGACTTTTGAATGAACACAGTTGTCCAATTGGCAAAGTATATGACAAATGGGAATGCACGGTGGTCAAAGTTAATCCACAAATGGGGTGCAGTGGGGTGTTGACAGTAGGGGCAATTGACCAGGTGACCCACCAAAGCAAGTCGCAGGGTGTGCTCCATGGCCTGCCACATGTCTCTCTGACCCGTACAAGCACATCCTGGCATTGACTTTTGTCATTATTGCCTGTGGCCGCTCTGAAATTTGTCTTACAGGTGTGTGCGCACGTGCACACAGTGTGCTGCTTCCTCCTGAGCCCTCGGAGGCAGGGCTGGGGGTGGCGAGCTGACAGGAGCCTGTCCGAGCCGGGAGGACTCACAGTCTCCCCTCTTGCTTTGAAGCCAGGGCCGGGACCTGCGGCTGTGCCTTTGGGACCTGGCGGAGGGCCGGAACGCCGTCGTCGACTCTGTGCGCCTCGAGAGCGTGGGCTTCTGCAGGAGCTGCATGCTGGCCATGGCTCAGCCACGCTGGATGCTGGCCATGCCGGGGAGAGACAACAGTGAGGTGAGAGCCCTCCCTGTCCCAGGAGCCCCTGCGTTCCCAGCTCCCCCGCAGCGGCCGGGGTCCCACACACCTGCCTGGGAGTCTGTCTGCCTGGTGGCCATTATTAGTATCCTCGGGCCAGTGCACGCCTGCGTGAGCCGAGGTGGTGTCACTTGGTGATAAGCCATCCTCCCATCCCAGAGTGATGGTGAGAGTCAAGAGGTGGTGGGGGAGGCGAGCTCTGGTGGCCTAGTGGTAAGAAGCTGCACCGCAATCCCAGAGGTGAGTGGTTCAAATCCACCAGATGCTTTGCTGGAGAAGGAGGGACAATCTCCTCCTGTACCAGTCAGATCTAATTTGACGGTATACACACACACACACACACACACACACACACACAAAATAATAAAAGTAAAGTGGGTTTTTTTTTTTTTTAAAAAAAAAAAACCCTAACAAGGTGGTGGGACACAGGGAGAAAGTGATGAGGATACAAGGGTGAGGGACAAGGGGACCAGGTGAGGACAAGGGAATGAGTTGGAGGGAGCACAGGGATGAGGCCCAGCCTCTGAGTGTGCAGAACAGAAGGAGGTGAGCAGTGGTTCGTCCGGAGACCCGTGTGTGAGGGGCAGGAAGGCAGAATGCTGCCTACAGTCATGTGTAGTAGCAGGAGTCAAGCCAGGCAGTGGGTGACATGTACAGGTCAGACTAGGGGGCAATGGGGCAGAACCCCTCAGGAGAGAAGGGTGCTTAGGACTTGGGTGCAGTTTGAGGTGGGAGGTGTCAGGTCCCAGACTGGCTGCTTCCGGAGGGAGGCTCTGCCGATCGTGGAGGGCGGGGTCCAGGGTTGACAGAGGAGGACTGGCCAGGGGACGTGGCTTCTCACAGAGCAGGAGGCTGTTTCTGGGACGCCAGCTCCTGTAAGAAGTCATGAGTGGCCACTAGACAGCCCACCTGGGGATGCTGGCTGTGGGGCCTGGAGAAGCCAAGAGACCTGTGGGAAGATGGGGTGATCTAAGAATGGATGGTGGGGTGGTGACCGTGGGGGACACGCACGCAGGGAGCGGCCAGACAGCAAGGGCTTCATCTTGGACTGGCCATCCTGTGCCCCCGGGCCCGGCCTGCAGGCCTGCCTGCCCCACTGAGCCAGCGCGCACTGGACAGGGTGGCACCCACTCAGAGCTCAAGAGGTTCCCTGTCCACGTGGTTACGTTGGCCTCAACCCAGGAAGAGTCATTTTGTCTTAAAGCAGACTCGGTTCATAAATAATGAGATGCGAACAGGCATTTATTTGTTCACGATTGCGCTTAAATCCCCAATTAGGAGCTACATGCACTTCTCTTGCCAATTTGCCAAAAACCTGTTAAAAGTTTTATTAATGTGAAAAAGAAAGGGCACGCCTTCTCGCGGCCAGCCCGCCACCCCGGCACCTGAGTAACCACGGGCGGCGGCCCAGGCCTTGCCAGCGCCACAGACCCAGATCCACGCCTGGCGGGAGGTCAGAGTCACCGGGCCAGGCCAAGGAAAAAGACTGGTCCTCCCAAGGTTCGGGGTCCACGCAGTCTCCCACCACTGCCACGCCTCCCTTGGGGCTCCCCAGGACAGTGGGCTCCGCCAACGAGTGGGCTGGACACTACCTCCCAGGCCTGGTAATGCAGGGCTGGTGCTCAGCGGCCGCGTCCCCTGGCCAGTCCTCCTTCCGTCAAGCCTGGCCCCCGCCCTCCACTGTCGGCAGAGCCTCCCTCCAGAAGCAGCCAGTCCGGGATCTGACACGTCCTGGGGAGATGGTGGTGGTTTTCCATGCGCCTGTCTGGAGCCTGCCTGGACGGGGGCTGGGGAGTGCGTGGCTGGAGCTAGACCAGCCGGTGCCCAGGGAGCATGTGCTCCTGCCACGGCGTGCCCAGCTGCGTGGCTGCTCCTGCCCGGACCAAACATTTTCCGCTGGAAACAGAAAGTTGCCGTTACGATCTAGGTGGGAGGCACAGCTCAGTCTTGGGGAGGCTGTGGCCACGGGGCACGTGCCCTCACTTAGAACACAGACTCCTCTCCCTCTCTGCCCCTCCAAGGCCCAGGCCACCCTGAACATCCACCCCTACCTCCAGCCTGATGCCTGGGCAGACCCCTTTTGGGGTGCCCTCTCACGTAGGCCTGTGGCCTCCAGGTCCCCTGCCCCCACGTTTGGCTCTTGGTGCTGCTGTGCCCCTCCCACAGCTCCCCACCTGGAGCCCCAGCACTGCCCAGGCTGTCCCCCTCACTGCTGGCCTCGCTGCCCGCCCCCTGCCCTCACACCTCCACTCGTTCGCCCACAGCTGACTTACTCGGCGAGATCCCAGCATTCCTCCCTGGCTGAACCCCTGGGTCCGCCTCTAGTTATTTATGGTCAGTGCCTTGCAGCAGCCACACGTCCACTGTTCTGCTTCCTCAGTACCCCCCGGCACATGCTCGGGGTCCTGCGGCAAAAGGGGCGGGGGCCTCACTGCCTCTGGGTCAAAGGAGAAACTGTAGTCTTCGACACCTGGCCAGAACGCGCCCTGGTGTGAACCTGCGGGAGATGGGAACCCCCGGCCAGGCTTGCCCCGCTCTCAACGTGCCCAGCAGCCTCCCAGGGACCTGGTGGTCACCCCTGTCACCTGTGAGCTCACAGCAGGTCTGTGGCATCAGCTCAGGTCTCTGACTCTGGGTTAGAGCATACTCCTAGGTGAGTCAGTAAGGGTAGTGTGACAGTTGCCACCTGTGGCCAGTCCGCTCTGCTTTCTAGCCTGGCCCAGGAGGGCAGGGGTGGAGTAGAAGGAGCTGGACACACAGGTGTGAGTTACACCGTCCTGCACCAACAACCTCTCCGATGTCAGACCCTGTGTCTTCATGCTCTTGGGACATCCCATTCCCAAGCTGAGCACTGTTCAGTCCTACAGGTTTGCCCTTATAAAGGCATTCACTTGGACTGGGAGCCGTACTTCTCTGAGTTCATAGGGCCATGGAGGTCTTGGACATCCCCCTTTTCATGGGGCTGTGGTGGAGTGTGACAAACCATCTGGTTCACGGGGACACAGACATGCCTGCACCTTTCAGCAGAACTTTCTGGGGAGCAGAAGTGCAGACGAGCAGTCAGCCAAGCCCCCTGCAGAAGTGGAGAACCCCTTTAACTCCTCCCAGGTCATAGTAGGTCCCCGTTTTGTGGGTGAAGAACCTGAGGCATTTAGAGACCGGGAAGACCCCTGAAAGTGGTGCTAGGGTGACACGGTGTGCAGGCCGGAGTGGTGTGGGGACCACACACCTCACAGCGCAGGCTGTGGGAAGCCAGTGAGTGCTGTGCTGGGGTCTGTAAAGTGCAGCCGTGAAAGGCGACGCAGGGGCGGAGAAGGCCACGTTCCAACAGGCGTTACCACGACCGTTGTCACTGTCACTTCTCATGTGGGGCAGTGGGTCCACAGGCGTCCCTTGTGTAATTCCTGTGTCCTTAGGTGAGACCAGGAGAGTTCAGAGTTGCTTAAGAGGTATTCCCGCACATTGGGAGGGGACTCGAGGCCGGGAGGTTGGGAGATTCTCAGGGCCGGAGCGAGCCAGGCCCCTGCTTTGTGAGGCGGGTGCCAGGTGGGCACGCCGGTCACTGATGTGTGTTATGCAAGGGGCCCCCTCAGCAGCCCCAGCCCATGAGCCCGGGAAGCCTAATTAGAAGCCTCGGCTCCCAGCCTTTCCCCAGGAACAGACAGAAACTCGCATCAGCCTTGGCTAATCGCCTTAAAAGTCTCTTGTTTGTATAGCACAGACTCGACTTGGCGTCAGCCCAAATCAACTTGTTTTCTTCCTGTCAGGTTGAGATTCTGGAGATGCCATCCAAGACGTCAGTGTGCGCCCTGAAGCCAGGGGCGGGTGCCAAGCCGGGCATGCCCATGTGCCTGAAGCTGTGGCAGGTACGGCTGCGCGTGCTGGTGGGACACGCCCTGCAGGCCACGCCCGCCGCGCGTGAGTCACGCTGGGCACTCGGCTGGCCTCGGTGTCTGGGGTTGTCACTCTGGCCTTGCCCTGCCTGGAGCAGGACACTCCAGGCTCAGGCAGCAGGTGCCGGACTCTCCCCAAGGGCACCTCCTGCTGGTGATTGGTGGGAAGGGGCCAGGCAGTGCCCTCACTCATTCTTCTCCCTGTGGGCCAGCCCTGACTGACGTGCTGACCAGCCTCTGAGCTTGCGTGGCCTCACTTTGTGCTCTTGTCATATCTTTACACCTTTGACATGGGAATGGGCTTGTCAGACCAGCTCCCTGCAGCCGTGCAGGGTCTCTCAGTCCAAGCTCTCTTCCTCCTTCCTCACATGCTTCTTCTGATGACGGAGGGTCAGAGGGCATTTCCAGATGGAGACGGGGGCTCAGTCCTGGCAGGGTGAATTTCAAGCTGGAAAGGGTCCCCCTGGGCCTGCCCACTTTCACCCAGAGCGCTGGCCCTGGGCTCCAGCGCTGCCCGCTCCCTGGAGGTAACTGTTTCGCCGGCCTCATCACTCCAGAGTCGGCAGCTTGTCATTCCTTGACTGAAAACACTCAAGTTAGAACGTGAGGTCATGAGGGGCTCCCGGTCCTTCATTCTTCCACTAAAGCCTCCTGGGAGAATCTACGAGGTGCGTGAGGAAGTGGGGAGCTCAGGGGGCCTAGGACTTAAAAGACACTCACCCAGGCAGCTGCAGCTCCTGGCCAGGCCCGGCTTGTTGTCCAGGCCAGGCCACGATGGGCAGCCTCGGTGTCAGGTAGCGAGGGGCTCACAGGCTGGCGTCCCAGGCCTTCCGTATAGTACTGGCCATTCTCGGGCAGGAGGCCACGCTGGGCTTCTCCCTCACATTTGCTCCCGGGGAGACACCACGCATTGCACAATCGCCTAAAAATTCCAGCAGAAAAATGTGTAGAAATGGGATGTACAAACTTGTTAGGGTAATTAATATAGTTGACAGAAGGACAAATCGTGTTTTGTTAGTTGACACGGATCCAGCAGAGTGTTCTGTTCAGAAGAAGCGACGCTAATTTGAAATGTTTCTTTTCTTTTTTTTTTTGTTTCTACTCCTTTTTTCTCCCCAAACCAGGAGCTAACAGGCTGTCTTTTGCGTGTCTGAGTATGACAAGTGACTGGCTTCTTTTCACCTCCAACACTCGGGTTTATTTTCACTTGGTTTCGGTAACGAGGCTGTGAGAATCCAGAATCATCTGGGGGCGCCCTGTGGAGCTGCGTCCTGCAGCAGGGCCTGGGACCACCGTGGGTCACTGTGAGCCTGTGTGCGTTGAGGGCTGGGGTGTCCTCGGCAGTGCTAGCCCTGCGGGGGCAGGCAATGACAGAAGAGGACGTGGTGACTGGAACCTCACCTAGGAGGGTGGCCTGGTCCCACACCCCCAGAGAGTCCCATCAGCCACCAGAGCACCTTCCCACCGGAAGTGACGTCACGGGGTGACACGCTGGCCTCCATTCCCTCCAGCTGTGCTACACTCTTTCAGGCCTGCGATGTCCATCCGTCCACCCTTGTGACGTAGCCCTGGAAGTAGCCGTGGTGGTCCCGAACCTGAGGCCTCAGGCATCATGCAGGAATGGGGTACCCGTGGCCAGTGGCACAAATGTGTCAGCAGTGAGGAAGGGCTGATTCGGTGTGAGACATGGGGGTCCCTGCCTTGTCGGCCCCAGGACCAGGGAGGGCTCAGCCCAAGATAGCTGCACTGACAGAAAACAGTGGCCACCAGGGACAGTGAGGAGAGAGGTGGCCCCAGCTGAGATCCAGAGGCACCACGTAGCTGGTGACAGCCCTCTGATCCCAGCGCTCCCTGTATCTTGACCAGGGATTCTTGCCAGGCTTGGAGCCTGACACGGTGGCTCGGGGGGGCAGGACTCTACTGACCACCGTGGCTCGGAGACGGGGGCTGGAGGACGGGCTCAGCCATGTGTACTGGCTCTGATGCCACGTTATCAGGTGATCTGCAAGGGGCCGCCCAGAGGGAGGTGCCCCTTTTGAGTCAAAGCATGTCTGGGTACAGGCCACTGGAGGCCCCCAGTCTAGGAGGCCCAGGGATGATGTATCCCTCTGGCGAGGACAAGGTCCTAAGGGACAGTCCTCAGAGGCAGGCCGGGCACCTGTCTCTCCCCACAAACCTTCCTGGCCCTGTTGCACGTCCCCCCGCTTTGCTTTTATGCCATGTGAACACACGCTAACATCGGAGGAAGATACCTCCATCTACTTCTGGGACCAGGGAGCCCCAGAGAGCAGAGGCTGCACACACCCCACTTGCAGTCTCAGAAGTCCGCTCCTTCCTCCACACAAGCACTCCCTGTAGGTCAAAGCTGGGCTGGCCCCCAGGACTGACTGTGTCCCCCGCCACACCCTTTGCCTCAGTTTCCTCACTAGACCTACAGGCAGAGCCCACTTTCTTTAGCTGTTAAGAGATCACTTGTTAGACACGCCTAGGGCCCCTCACTCAGTCACTCAAGGTTCTCCCTGGGGCATCCCAGGACGCTGGAGGGGTGCTCTGTGTGCAGAAGCCACCAGAAGCTCTCTCCCAGTCAGGAAGGCCCCAGACAGACAGGCAGACGGCTTGCATACTGTCTGCCTGTACCCGGTGAAGCTCAGCTCCCAGCCATGGCCTCCTGCCATCTGGCCTCGCCAGGGGACCAGGCAGCAGCAGGGCAGTCTGTACTCACTGCTGACCCCCAGAAGTGAGAGCTACCACTCCCAAGAAGGCCCCCAGAGTGACTGTCTCTGAGAATCTCTCCCAAAGGGGAGCAACACAGGCTCAGGTATTCCTGAAACTCCCATTAGATCAATGAAGACAGCGGGGAACCCAGAAAAGAAGAGCTTCGTCCTCACGTGCTGCCTGTCCAGGAGGCGTGTCCTGTTGACAGCACCAGAGGACTCAGCCCCTGCCTTTTGTCTCAGCACCGCACCCCAAGACTGGACACACAGCATGAGGCACCCTGGGGCTCGGGGTGGGGGGCAGCCGCCCTGGTGCGTGGCGTGACCCAGTGCTGTGCAGTGCCTCTATCAGAGTTATTTCAGAGGCTGCAGTGGAGGAGACGTCCTCTCAGGGTGCCGAGCCCCCTGACCCGACCCTCATCCATCACAATAGCTCAGAGCCGCCGGGAACGCTGCGCACACCGCACACCCTTTCACACCGCGGCCACTTGCGGGGGCCGCTGGGGGTGGGGAGCTGCCGCGGCGACATTGACAAAGCACAGGGATTTCATTTTTCATGGCAATAGGGCTCGCGATGTTTTTTGCCCCCCTCGCCTGGCGCTTCAAGACAGATGACTGGCTGGGCCAGAAGGGGCTGTGAGGCTTGGAGCTGTGTGTGGGGAGCTGGGGGACACCAGGGTGGAGCAGCACCCCTGCAGTGCCCCCCCCCACCCGGGAAGCTCAAGACACTGAGCTGTGACTCTGCCCCCAATTCAGTCCTCTCAGGTCCCCGTCGAGGGGGAAGCTTTTGCGCTGCTCCTTAAGGGGCCAGAGAAGTGCCCATCTTGGGGGTGAGCCCACGCCCCTCAGGGTTCATCTGACACCCCCACTCTTCCTGGCAGGCCGCCTCCAGCCCCCGCCCACACCTGCTGGCCGGCTATGAGGATGGATCTGTGGTCCTGTGGGATGTCTCCGAGAGGAAGGTGTGCAGCCGTGTCGCCTGCCACACGGAGCCGGCCCTGGCCCTTGACTTTGACTCCCAGAAGGCCCGGGGCGTCTCGGGCTCGGCGGAGAAGGCGCTGGCTGTCTGGAGCCTGGATGAGCAGCAGGCCCTGAAGGTCAGTGCACGGACCCGGTGTCATTTATCCTGCTTTGCACTAACAGTCTGATAGGCTGAAAAAATATTTAGGCATGAAGAGGAGTTGTTGCAGATCCCGGGCTAATCAATCACAGCGGGCGGCGGGCCGGCCGGTCCTCGGGGCTGCGGGAGCGGTCACATGGCTTGGGTTTCCCTCAGCTCTTGGGTTACCAGCAGGCACGTCTTGTCCATCTCAAGAAAAGGCGTGTAGAGCCCCAGAGTAGGAAGCAGCCCACTTGGGAAGGCTCAGAGGAATTAGGCAAATTAATAAAAAATGAAAGGCCAATGTGGAAAGCCCCCGCGGAGTCCCAACCTGGGTGGTGGGGGTCTGGGACAGAGTGGAGCCCCCTCCTTCAGGTCTCAGGCAGCGTGAAGGACGCTGGGGCCGTGAGCTCCACCAGTGCTCAGCACGGGGTGACCCCCACCCCCACCCTGTGGTGTCCTGATGTGGAGAACAGCCCACAGGGGAGGGGTGGGGTATGGCCAGTGCACATACTGGCTTCTGGGGTGTTAGCTAGGGCTCCCCAGAAGGGCAAGATGACCATCCTTCCAAAAGATGTGCTGGGGTGGGGGTACAGGCTGTGCCCCAGCTGGCTCCCGGCAGAGGCAAGCGAAATTATGGGAGACACTTGTGCCGTGGACCCCCCCCCCATATGCTTCCTGGTGTCCACACCCCTTGGCACTGCCCTTTTAGGGGCAGTTCAGGCCTCCCACCACATCTTTCTGGGTCTCTGGGAGAGGCCATCCTTCCCACATGTCCTGACAGGCTGCACTCAGAGCCCCAGAAGCACTGGGCAGGGTCGTGGGGCAAGTGGGCGTGGGTGAAAACCAAGGCATGTTCGAAGGAATGGGACGCTGGCAGGACAGCAAAGGGAAGGAATGACAAGGACAGCCAGGCTGAAGGCATGGCCCAGGGAGCTTCAGGGGCCAGAAGGTTAAAGTCACCAGTGCCTGGGGCATTGGTGCTGGTGGTGAGAGAGGCCAAGAGGCGTCCCCTTACTTGGCATATGCGGGTCACTAGGCACCCCCTGGGAGAAAGGGGCATAAGAGCAGTGTGAGGGCTGTGGCCCTGGAGTGAAGCTGGCCTGCCTTGCCCTGCAGGACACCGTCTCTGGGCAAGGACCTGAGAGAGTGGGAGGTGAGCATCGCAGGACACTGGAGGAGGGGCGTGTGAGGCGGCCACACCAGGGGAAGGAGAGACCCACGGGGGCGTAAGGACGAGGCAGGCCCAGTCCTGTGTGCCTCCCTAGGACCACCTCTCCCCTTCCAGGCCAGCTCTGCACTGGTGAAATGGGAGAGTCTTCTTGTTCTGACCTGACCTGGTGCATAGAAGCCCTGGGGCCCAGCCCTGTGCTGGGAAGGGCCAACCTGTCCGGAGGGGTGGCTGAGGCCTGGCGGACACTGACCTGGGCAGCAGTGTGTCCACTTCCCCCGGGTGATGGGGACTTCCGTGTGCTGGAGGCTGAACCTCTCTAAGAGCTGGACCTTCATGGCATGTCCACTTTCACACCAGATCCCTCCCTTTGCTCTTTGATTCCAGTAGAGGGCAGGTGACACCCATTTTTCTTCTGTTGGGGGGGGGGTGTCTGGGCCTACTGTGGCGTGAACTAGGAACCCGACCCAATGCACCTGTCCTCACCACGCTCCCGGCGGGGACCCTGGGCTTCCCAGGCTTCCCAGCACCCAGGGTCCCTCTTGCTGGCCGTCCCAGATCTGCCTGGTCTGCTCAGGAAACAGCTGTGGGACGTTAAGACTTAAATTTATGGGGTGCGTTCCAGTCTCGAGCTGGGTTTATTGTATTGATGAATTGAAAAGTCAAAGCAGAAGGGTATTAATGAATTCAAAAGTCAAAGCAGAAGGGGGAACCAGGCCTCGCCGAATGGAAGTGGTTGGCATGATGTGTGGCGAGGGGCTCAGCAGGGGGCCTCCGCCGACAGCCGTCCACATCAAAGGAGGAGAAGGCTTTCAAGAGTGGGCTGAGCCCGCGGGCAGGTAGGAACAGCCGCCTGCCCACCCGCCCTCCCATGGAGCTGCACAGGGGTGAGGCTGGCATCCTCTCTCCATGTCACCTTCAAAGCCGGCCTGCTGACCCCAGGAGAGTCTCTGCTTCTGAAAAGCCCAGGCCTTGAGAAAGGAAGTCCTTCGGGCTACAAGATGCCCAGGCGAGTCTCCGGATGCATCTTGGACACCTGGGAGCAGGTGTGGTGACCACACGCCCTCACTGTTCACAGAGTTTGGTGAGGTGATTGCACGCCCCCATGGTTCACAGAATGTCGGTCCAGCAAGACGGCTGTGTACCCTGGCCATTTCCAGACCACCTGTCCTCGGGGGAGGGAGCCATGCACTCTTGCCATTTGCAGAGCGCCTTCTAGGAGGGCAGCCATGTGTCCTGCCGTCTGTGGAGGGCCGTCCAGCGAAGCATCACATACCGTTGCAGATCAGAGAGTGTCTTTTGTCCACTGAGGTGGCCACAAGCCGTCAGATGTGAGCCGCTGCTCCGCTGGCCCTGGGTACCGCTGTCTGCCAGCCCGGCCGTGTTCTGGGGCAGCCTCTGCCTCGGGCTCGTGAGCCACGTGGGCAGATGGCCTCACCTCGTGTCCTCTCCCTGCCGTCTCTAATGAGCCCAAATCAATCTCCCAGGCAAGCGCCGGGGCCGAGATGCAGATGAGGTTTCTCCGCGCCAGAGTGCGGGTAATCGGAACCAGATGGCGTCCCTCGCCGCTCGGTGCATTCCTGGTACCTGAGGTCATGCCTCGTGAGAGCCACTCAGTGGCCAGAGATCTTTCCCGGGGAGCCCGTGTCCATACCAAGCTGGCATTCGGGGACTTAAGGGGCACAGGGCCCTGGCCACCCGCTGAGGGCACCACCAGCTCGGGACAAAGCCGGTGCTCAGGAGGACTGCGCGCTCGGTACCAGGTCTCTCTGCACGCTCACCAGGATCCGGCGTCAGCTGTCGTCAGACCCAGGTGGTGAGCAGACTCCTTCCCCAAACACTTGGGGCAGTGCCCGCAAGCCTTAAAGAACCCCCTGATTTATAGTCCGTGGTATTTTTAGGCCTTTAAACAGTAATGAGGCTCCCCGTCTCAATCAGCCCTGGGCGGGGAGGTGGGCTGACCACGCTGTTTGCAGCTCTTGCTCCTTCCGTGACCCGTGCGCGCACGCGCGCGCACGGCCTGCATCCTGGGCCCAGTTCCCATCTGCAGAGCAGGAGCCAGCGCTGTCTGCCTGCTCCCTTCTCCACTCCCCGCTCCGCCCGGCGCTTAGCGGTGCAGGGCTGCATGCAGCCTGAGACAAGCCTGGCACCTTCCACGGGGCAGCACTCCGGGTCTGCTCAGCCCTCCATGTGCCGCACAAGTTGCAGCCTGCATTCAGGAGAGAACCCATGCCCAGGGGTGGCTGGAGCCCAGCACAGCGCTGCCTCGCTGGTGGGCATCATTTATCCCCCCAGGATAAAGTCTTAAAGTGAAGAGCCCCTGCCTCCTGGTTCCCTGCCAGAGGTGAGCCTGTGTTGGGAGTAGGGCGTGAGACTGGGGTGCAGAGGCCAGCATTCCTTTTCCCAGGCCAGCTCTGCCTGCCCTCCGCCAACCCATCAGTGCAGCCAAACCTTTGAGGCACCGAGGCTTCTTCACAGAGGATGACCCCAACATGGGAGGTATGTGTGTCAAACACAGGGCTTGTCCAAGAGGAAGCTGGCTTGGGCCCTGTCACCTGCTAGCTACCTCCTCTGCGCCTGTGTGCCCGTCTTCTGAGTCTGCAAAGACACAGAGAAGAGCTACAGAAGTCTCCCTCCTCGGCCCAGCATTAGGGGGAGCAGCAGCTGGACGTGAGCTTGAGCCAGCTCTGTTCGCTGGAGATTACCCCAATATTAGTGTCACACAAACACAGAAGGCCAAGCAGGTGGCCTGTGCCAAGCCCCCGAGCGAATCCCACTGAGATGCACTGCGTGCACCTCCAAGGCCCTCTCCACCACTGACACATTCAGGAGGGGTGTGACATTCAAGAGGTCAAAGGGCTGCAAGTGTTCCGTGGCACCATGTCCCTCACTGGACATAACTCCATTTGAGTCTGAGGAATGGATCTGGGTCCCTGCAAACCCAGCAGACGCATATCTGCTTGCATGTGCAACCAAACCTTTGAGGCACCGAGGCTTCTTCACAGAGGATGACCCCAACATGGGAGGTATGTGTGTCGAACACAGGGCTTGTCCAAGAGGAAGCTGGCTCGGGCCCTGTCACCTGCTAGCTACCTCCTCCGCGCCTGTGTGCCCGTCTTCTGAGTCTGCAGAGACACAGTGAAGAGCTACAGAAGTCCCCCTGCTCGGCCCAGCATTAGGGGGAGCAGCTTCACAGCACCCCACACTGTCAGCCTCAGCTGTCACGGTGTCCCTGTGCTGTGTAACAGGGTCCCAGGTGGACTGCAGGGTCAAGGGCTCCCCGACGGCTGTCTTGGTTAGGGGCTGCATGCACACCTGTGTCAGCACCTCCGCGACCAGCCCACGGAGCTTGGCAGGGACTTGCAGGACTTGCGTGTGTGTGCAGTCTGCGGAACTGGCTGAGCAAGGCTGGGCATCTGGTCAGGGTTAGGGGAGGCCTGCGTCCCCCACGTGCACCCGCTTCTCACATCCCCCACCGAGCGCCTCTCCGGTGCCGCCGCCTCTTTCTTCCTGACTTCAAGGTGTGCCCCACAAAGTCGGCAATTCCGCTGTCTGAAGTGAGTTACACGTATCCCCCCGTGCTGCCATATGCCTCCCTGACTCCGCTCGGGATGCGTTTACCAGGTGCAGAAGACGTCAGGAGTTCATTTTCGGTGTTACTTGTGGTAGCATTGAGGTCTTGTGTTCACCCACTTAAAGAACAAGTCCTGCTCTCTGCAAGGGGCTGTGGTGACAGAGTCCGAGGTAAGTTGGGCCCCGCTAACCAGCAGGCTGTGTCTCACGGTTCAAATCTTCCAGCAGCTCCAAGGGGGAATGATGGGCAGTCT